ATTCTGCTGGGTGTGTGGTGTCCACTGGAGGGAACTCTGCTGGGCGTGTGGTGTCCACTGGAGGGAACCCTGCTGGGCGTGTGATGTCCACTTGAGGGAGCGCTGCTCGGTGTGTGGTGTCCACTGGAGGGAGCTCTGCTGGACACATGGTAGCCACACTGTGTCAATGAGAATGGAGAGTTGGTTTCAGTGGCACTTGTGTGTGAATGTCCACTGACGTCTGTGCACGTGTGTGAGATGTCCTGTCCACAGTGACACATGTGGTCTTGGTCCCCTTCTGCGACTGCTTTGCATCTCGCGTACACTTATTTGCGTCTGGTCATGGCAGGACGTGAGAATTTCCTTTGGTTCACTGCACTTCCTGCTCTGGACAGCCTCCCACGGCTGCTCTCCACTCCGCTGTGCGGCGCTCAGAGGACGCTGCTTCTCCCGTAGCCTCCCCAGAGCACGCTCTGCTGGCCTCAGCGTGAGCTCCCCACATGCACGGAAATTCCGAGCCTGTGGGGTGGGGCTGTGGCTCACTCCAGATCTCGGTACCCTGTGCCCTTGGGTGGAATCACCCTGGACTGGAAACCCGCAGCCTCACGAACCACAGGACCTGCACTTTAGTATCTGTGAAAGTGCCTCGGTGGTGTCCTCGGCCCCTTCAGAGCGCAGAGCCGTCAGCGCCATAATTGCCTGGGTCCAGTGTATCATGCTTGTCCGTTGTGTACTGAGCCTTGTCCCCGGGCTCCCAGGGTGAACAGACTGCCCACAGCTTCCTTTGCCTTTCAGACAGACTATGAGGGCCAAGCCAAGAAGCTCCTGGAGCTGATGGAACACACCGATGTGCTCATTGTCGCCGGAGGGGACGGGACGCTGCAGGAGGTACGGCCGTGTGTTTGTGGAAGGGACCTCAGTGTGTGCGTCGTGGGCTCTGATACAAGGGAGTGACTTCTGTGGGATCTGCACTTTGAGGATCACTGCTCTGAAGGATGAAAGCCTGAGCCAGTGACAGAGTCCCTCCAGCTCATGGCAACCTGTGGGCAGCAGAACATGCCCCTCTGCTCTCGGAGATGTCATCTCTGCAGAGGCAGGCTGCCACGTCCTATAGAGCAGCTGCGGGGTTTGAACCACTGACCTTTCAGCTCTTGGGTGCTCAGCCACTGTGCACCAGCCCTGTCTGGAGGAACCGTCGTTCAGAGAGGTCCTCCTGCCCGTTCATTTTGTTCTGCGGCATGAATCCCATACCCTTCCCATGGGAGGGTATTTGTCACATTTACATTTGATAGAATAGCCCAGGAAATTCAGAAGTGGTGCCAGGGGGCTGCTGGGAGGAGTGTTTGTGTCCTGAAGACTCGTGAGGGAGGCCTGTCTGTGAGGGAATTAGAGCTTCAGCCATGGAGAGTGCTGCTCTTGTGATCAGTAGATTCCTCTAGAAACAAGCGTGTCCATCTGCACATGCTCTGCTGTCTTGAAGCTCGTGAGGTCACGGGAGGCCACACTTAGACCCCTGGCCCCCGGGCCTCAGTGCCTGCGTTGGGCCAGGAGGGTGGGAGGTGGATTGCCTGGGAATGGGCTTTTGTCCCCGTGGCTGCCCAGCGCATCCATCCTGGGAGTGGAGGCTGCCAGGAGTCTCATGCAGGTGACCTGCCACCAGCTGACCCCAGCCCTGCACTGCTGACCACACCTGAACCTCATTCTGTTCCTCAGTGGTGGGGTCAGGAAGCCTGGGCAGGCGATCTGTCACGGTCTGGTCCCAAGTCCTGCTCAGCTGACCACACCTGGTATGGCGGCCTTCATCCGCAGTCTGGGGCCGGGAGCCTGTCTGTTGCCGTGGTCCGTAGCCCTTTGTGGTCGTGTTCACACAGCTGGTCACATCCAGGGCTGGGCCTGAGTTTGGCATGGCGATGGGAGAACCTGGGGCATGTCTCTGGAAAAGCTTGTGCTAATCTTCCTTTCGTTGTTCGTGTATCCTTGTACTGCGTGGGGGCAGTACCGATCGTGTGCCATGTGAGAGTGAAGTAGACCTCACCACAGCCCCCGCTAGCCCTGAACTCCACAGGTGGAGAAGGAAGGAGCTCGGGCCTGCCTTTTGGTGGTGTAGTGTTAAGTGCTTGACTGTTACCCAAGAGGCCGGCAGCTTGAACCGCCCAGCCATTCTGCAGAGAAAGCTGTGGCATTCTGCTCCGTCAGGAATGCAGTTGGGACACCTACAGGGCAATCCTCTGGAGTCGCCATAAGTCGGAGCTGAACTGGCAGCAGACGTGGTTTGAGTTTTACTTGATGAAATATTTTTAAAGCAAGATGTCATACTGAGCTTTAAGCAGCATACATGTTGTTGTTGTGTGTTGTCAAGGAGGAAGCAACTAATAGCTGACCTGGTGGGTTTTCAGAGGCTGTAAATCCCAAGTCAGGCGATTGCCTGTCTTTCTCCAGTGGAGCAGCTGGTGGATTCGAACCACTTGCTTTTGGGACTGCAGCACAGTTTCTTACCACTAAGCCATCAGAGCTCCCTGCTTGAGCCCTTAGAACACATTTAACAGTGTACGCTTGGCCATGTGGAAACGTGCACCAACGAGCAAAAGGGTCAGGGCGTCTGCCAGAATCGGTGGGTGGGGAGGCTTGTCTGATGTGCAGACATTGTGAAAAATAGTTGTTTTTCTTCAGGTATTTTTCACAGTTTCTAGAAGATGTGTACTGTGATTGTAAAGAGAGAAGTGCACCCTCTGAATGTTAACATTCAAAGGGTTTTCTCCTAGAGGCAGGAAGCTCCGCTCGGTCTCTCGTCCCCATCAGGGAACCCGGGCAGAGGAGCCTCCGTGCCTGAGTATCGGGTGGGGTGGGCTCTGCGGACCTGTCTCATAACAGTGAACCTTTGTGCCTGCTGCGAGACTGTGTGTGTGTGTGTGTGTGTGTGTGTGTGTGTGTGTGTGTGTGTGTGTTTAGGATTACGG